TGCTTTTTAAAAAGAAAAATCTCAACGTTTGCAGCTTTGCCTTAATTCTGTAAATAAACATGTTCTACCTCTCCTAAATACTTCCATGTGGCTTTTAAATTATTTCCAGGTGCTCTGTCATCATCATCAATCACACAGCATGGCAGTGGTTCTCAACCTTGGCTGTGCTTTGGATTCACCCAGAGAACATAAACAAATTCTGAGGGTTGCGTCTGCCCTCCAAGGGTCTGATTTAATTAGTCTGGGACTCAGCCTGGCCACTGGGAGTTTCAGATTCTCTAAAGTGCTGAGGCTTTCATGAGCCAGGTTGAGACCCACTTACCAGAACCTGGATTCTAGTTCTGACTTGCCCCCTTGACAGCTCTGTCTTTGAACAAGACACATGGCTTCTCTGAGCTTTATTTCCTCACAGGTAAAGTGGAGATAACTGTCTCTTCTCTACTTACTTTATATACTTGCCAGGAGGAGCATGGAAATTGTGTTTATGGAAACACTTTGTACACCAGGTATTTTTATTAGGATTATTAATCATTTTGGTTATTGCTGGTCCCAACACATAGCTAAGCTTCTTAAGGGTACAAAAGTATAGTTATCTTCTTATTTTTCAGTTTTATGCCCAACAGTAGAATTTATATACTGTCTTATTGTCTTTCACACCACCAATTCTTTCTTCTTTAAACCCAGTTCTGCACCAGGAGTGTATGTTCTACTCGGCATTATTTGACATTTGTTGGCCCCAGGTTCATCTTGTGATGGGGGCCCAGCTTCCTTCTTAGTTGGCTGGGCTATTTGGCATGTCTAGTGGTCTTTGGTGACCTATTTTATGGGTTCCTGGGCTGTCCTGGTCTAAACTCTTAGCCTGCTGTGCATATCACTCTTGGATATTTGACTTTTCCCTGAGTTTACCTCGGGAATACTTTTGCTAATTATTTTCCTTTTTTTTTTTTTTTTTTACTCCCTACAATCTTATATTTGCTATGGGATAGAACTAAGGCACTTTTTTTCATCCTTATACCTGGGGTCAAAGCCATCATTTGAATTCCTTGTGGCCTGAGGCTGCTGTCGGCATCTACGGGAAGGGCAGCAGGGTTGCCCAGGAGTGCTCAGCATTTTCTTCTATAAAAGCCCATCCCATCACTTCCAGGAGTCATGGCTCATGACCAGCCCATAGAATTTGTTACTTTTTAACTCCCAGTTTGCTAAGGAGTAGAGCCATGTGCAGGAACCCTAGGTGTCTTCTTGTCTGTGTGCTCACAGCTGACATTGGAAGCCCTGATCTCTATTGTGCACTTTCTCCCAGCCCTTGTGTTTTCTCCCACCCTAGCCTAGGTCAGGGTCTCATCTCTCTAACTTATAATCAGTAATGGGCCAGACAGACTTGAGTCTGTTTACTTATATCATTTTGGACAAGTTAAATTTCCACCCAATGTCTCAGATTCTTCATCTCTGGTACATGGTGACAATAATGGAATCTGAACACCCGGGGTTTGGGGTGAGGATGAAATACTATGTGTGAAGGTACTCAGCAGACCGTCAAACTAGAAAGTGATCTATTGATATTCATTGCCTTACTATCTGACTGTCTGACACTAGTTTTATCCTCCAAAATTCAGCTCCTTCTAGCTTTAGAATTATTTGATTCTTTAGACTTCTTTGGTTCTGGGAAACAGAACTTACTTTGGAGGTAAACTTTTACAGGGTTAAAATTTTGGGTTTAGGAAGGTAGGCTTTCTCCTAGGTTCTAAATCACCTTAGGTCATGTGATTGTGCATCTTCATTGCTTAGATATTCATAAAAGACAATCTAATTTCACATCTAGACATATCAACCAACTATGCAAAAGGATAGTTGTTTCCCTGTGGAGAAATGTAAATGAGTGAAACTTGGTCTTAGTTCAGGAAGGTACCATGGAGAGTAGTTTGGTGCCCAAAGGCTTTGCCAGAGAGGCCTTTGGAGGACTGATGGGGTGTGAAGGGGGTGGGGAACAGGGCCCCAAAGGGGATCAGAATGAAAAACTACAAAGCAAGGGGCAATGGGAAGCA